TTCCTGGAATCCAGATCCTCTTTTTAGGGATTTCTAGCAACTATCTGAGATGTAAATATTTATTCAGTTTTTGGAAGTCATGTAAACATTCAAAGCTGTGGGATCTCATGCTTGCTGAAGCACCATGGGTTGTGGGGGAGTAGGGTGAGTGTTTCCAGATACCCAGGGCTAGTGTAGAAAGTTAGCGTACTCCATTCCCTAACTCCAGGATGAGGGAACTTCCAGGGCCACATGACCAAGTGGGCAAGGTCTTAATGGGGGGTGACACTGTGCATAAACCTGCCCTGAGCGCACAGCATATGCTTAGAGAACACTGACAGGAAGCCAGTCAAGGAGCGGGTGGGAGACCCTATTTATCCTCTTTCCAATTCGTACCTGGGAATGACATCAGGCTGGACTGCCCTCTGCTGACCCTGGGAGGGGGACATGTGATCTGAATCAGACTCACGAGCCCTTGTCCACACACACAACTATATATTCTCAGACAACTGGAACAGGACAAGTGGAGCACCACTTTTAATTAGTGGTGCTGGAACAGGAGAGACTTCAGTTGTACGGTCACACAAGCAAACTCAGGGATGGTGGCATATCCAATGAAAAACCTGAAGTGTTCAGTCACTAGAAGAAAATGCTTGAGAAAAATCTTCACAACTCACGTTCGTTAGACAACAAATATCAGAAACATCACCAAAGGCATCGTCGACAAAAGGAACCGGCGAGTCAGATTTCAGCCGCGTCGAGAACTTTGCCTATCTTTATCTCAAGATGCACAGCCATGACATAAGAACAAGCAACCCAGCCTTTTAAAATGAGCTGTTTAAAAAGATATATTGACAAAGAATAATTACAGGTGGCAAATAAATATGTGAGTTACTCAAAGTCATCCATTTTTATAGAGTTGCAAATTAAAGAGCACACACTAGGGGCTGGAGAGATGGCTCAGCAGTTAAGAACCCTTGTTGTTCTTGCAGAGGACCCAGGTTCAAGTCCCAGTATCCTCATGATGGCTCACAACCAGAACAGCTCCAGTTGTAGGGAATCTAATATCCTCGCCTTCCTCTGACCTTCTTGTGACACATGGTGTATAAACATACATGCAGGCAAAACATTCACATGCATGAAACAAAATAAATAATTTTTAAAAATAAGAGCACACATGAAGGTCAGATAAACAGCTCATCAGATGAAAGCACTTGCCAATAACCCTCCTGAGACCCAAATGGTAGAACCAACTCCTGTAAGTTGTCCTCTGTCCACACATGCACCATGGCAAGTGTACTCCCACATAAATACACACACACACACACACACACACACACACACACACACACACACCACAAATAAATAAATGCAGTGATCCATTGTGCATGACATTGAAGGGTTAGCTAGGTTAGGTTAACTGGGACAGGAAGACCCACCATAACTGTGGGTAGCACCATTTAATGGGCTGGGATCCTGGACTGAATAAGAAGGAGAAAGGGAGATGAACTCCAGCATTCGTCCTTCTCTACTTCCTGACTATGGATGCAATGTAAGCAGCTGCCTCAAGCTCCCACTGCCATGCCTCCCTACCATGTGGAGCCGGACCCTTGAACTAGGAAGCAAAAACAAATCCTTCCTAGTAAAAAAACAAATATGTCAGGGTATTTAGTCACAGCAAAAAAAAGTAACTAATAAAAGATACCAGGAATTTGGCTGCTGTGAATAAACCTGACCATGTGGTTCTTAGGCTTTTGGGACTGACTTGCAAGAGGAATGTGAAGGAGTTTAGAAATTTGAGCTAGAAAAGCCCTAGAATACTATAAGCAGAACATAATGAGCCATATTGCTGGGCATTGGAAGATAAGAATGCTGAGAGAAACCCAGGCAGTGGAGGCCCAGCTCATGAACGAGGCTGGGGGACATTCATTTGATATGGTGGCAATGCATTCTGCTCATGTCCTGAGAACTTGGGTGAGACTAAGTTGAAAAGGAATGAACTAATTTCTTCGATGAAGAGAATTTCAAGACAACATAGCATTCAGACGATGGAATGGCTAATGCTCACTACTCTTATTCAGACATACTGTAAGAAAAGACGAAGACTAAGAAAACAACGTGAATTTAGCAAGGATGGCAATTGTGACCCACAGATTGAGAACCAATGGTACAGAGGCTTACCATTAAGAGATTGTCTTAAATCTCAGAGGGGTCATGGAGCTTTTTTTTTTTTTTTTTTTTTAATGTTTGTTAGTTAATTTTGTGGATGGGGTAGTGCATGCATGTGAAGGTCAGAGAAAAATCTGCAAGAGTCAGCATTACAACTTTCAGGAGTGAGTTCTCTCCTTCCACCGTACAGATTCTGCAGATCAAACTTAGGTTGTCAGGCTTGGTAGCAAGTGCCTTTATCCACGGAGCCATCTTGCCAGCCCTAGAACATTGTATTTTTAAACAGTGCTGGAATTGTCAAAGACTATGAGGACTTTGTAGCATGGACTGAACTCATTTGCATGATGAGAGGGCCACAGACCCGTGGGAGCAAGGAAAGGAAGATTATGCTTTAAAAGCAGTGTGGTTGGGATTCAAACTGACAGAGGGTGGAGCTGTGTTGATTTATGTTATCAACTTGACAGGATCTAGACTCACAGAGGTGGCAAGTGTCCAGGCACACTTGTGAAGGATTATCTCGGTCAGGCTCACTGAGGCAGGAGGACACCCCTTAACTGTAGGCAGCATCCTTTCATGGGCTAGGGCCCTGACGTACACAGAGAGGAGAAAAGATGCTGTGTGTCAGCCAGTTCCCTCTGCTCCCTGAGTGTGGGTGCCATGTGACCAGCTGCCTCAAACTCTGCCATGCTTTACCTGCCATGATGTACTGTACCCCAAACCCATGAGCCTTCCTTATTTTTATTTTCATCATGTTTTTCCCACAGCAACAAGACAAATAACTAACATACAAGTGCTGATGAGGACACAGAGCACTGAACGGCCCCACGTGGTCGGTGGAGAATTGTTTCCCTCTAGAAAGAGCCTGTTTGATATCAAGCCGAGCATGTGCCTGCCAGATGACCTGGCCATTTCACTCCTAGGTCTTGGCCCTGGAGGGATGAGAACAAATTCACATACATGAGTGACTGTGCAACATGACCGCCATCGCTCACTGTGGAAGGGACCAGCATTGACTCTGCATAGCACGTGCTGGAAAACTATAGAACAGGGAAGAATAGGGAGCTGTGGATGCCATGGCAACCTGACAGAGCACTGAGCCAAGAGTGTGATGCTTAGGAGGATGTGGCCTAAGCATCCTCCTAAGTACAAAAGCCAGAGTGTGATGCTTAGGAGGATGTGGCCATGGGGAAGGGGGCGGGGGGTTGGGTTTCCCGGGGGCTAGGTGGCTGTGCCTGACCATAGTGGCACAGTCTGAGAGACTCTTGGGATTCAGAAAGCCTTTGTGTGCCTGGCTGCTATGGTGGGAATCTCACAGCTTGATGCACTTACTGATTCTGTGGAAGTTTAAAAATAATTTTAAACACAATTTTTAAAAGGAGCCCCACTGGAAAACTGTCCAGATGTTTCTCTGCATGGCACAGAAACAGTGTCCAGCTGCAGGAAAGGAGGGGGTTTGAGTCTGTGCGTGCCAGCTCAGCCCAGACTGAACTCAATCTTACACTCAAGGGCTAGTGACGATGTCCAGCAAACGCTGTTAGGAAAGACCTTGAAGGTCCTGTGGTAAGGTTGACCCTGCAAGGATCTCAGAAGAAGCTCTGTGCACAGATGAGCACAATCTTCAATGAGGTCTAAGGACACAGTGGATTTGGGCGACAACTCAGGGATTTTGGAGAGATATGTCCAGCCTCTAGAGTTAGCACAGCTTGGACTCAATGCTCAACAGCCCCGAGGACAGGTACTGTGAGCTAGCGTCCAGGTCCACCCCACAGAGCCTTTGATCTTCACAGGAAGCTGGCGTCTCAGCCACAGAAAGCTGGTGTTTGGGCCTGGATGTAGCTCCAGATGACATCTGTCCCTCCTCAGGCCAAAAGGATTGAGGGTGTTTCAGCTCTGTGCCTGGTGATCTTTCGAGAATCTGATGGAGACAGACTACGGAGACACAAAGAGAATATCGCGGACAGAAATATAAGATGAGGGAGGGAACAGAGAGGGTTAAATAGGACCACGACCCAGGAATAAAGCTAAGAAGCGAAGCAGGGACTTCACAGGGCTGAAAAGAGGAAGCGTGGCCCCGATGAGCCAAGGCCATTGCCTGCCTTCTGGGAGTGCTGCTCTGGTTTTCCTTGTGTTGCCATGATAAAACCTCTGGCCGAAACAACACATGGAGGAGGAGGAGGGTTATTTGGTTTACACTTTCAGGTTGGAAACCCTCATTAAGGAAAATCAGGGCAGAAATTTAAGGCAGGAACCAGTGAGCAACACTGTCCACTGGCTAGTTCGCTGGCTCACACACAGGCTCACACTTAGCTAACTTGTGTGTGTGTGTGTGTGTGTGTGTGTGTGTACAATCCAAGACCATCTGCCTAGGCATAGTACTACCAACAGTGGGCGGGGCCCTCCTACATCAATCAATAATAAAGTCAGTGCCCCCAGTCTGCTCTCGGCAATTCTTCGGTTGAGGCTTTCCTCTCAGAGGACCCGAAGCTACTTCAAGTTGACAACGTAAGTATGAGAAGTGTACAGTCATGGGGAAGCTGACATCAACCAGTTAACCAAGAGGACTGTCAGCGTGAGGGCCCAGGGCTCCTGGACTCAGCGGACCTGCTGAGGGCTTCCTCCAGCTAGAGCGCCTTGTCCCCCAGGGAGGAGCAAAGAAGGACTCACAACCGCCGCAAAGGCTGCTTAGGCCCAGACCCACCCTTCATCATTTCTCCTTGAAATGGAGTTACACGGGAAAAACCTCGTCCTACGAAATACACTCGATGAGGGTAACAGTGCTATCCTAATGAGTAAGGAGAAACCTGAATAAATCTTCTAGCCCCGCTCACTTATGGACTTAGAGACCACTGACTGTGAGATCACAGACTATGAGATCACAGACCTGTGTGATTCTTATTAGTTCCCGACCGGCCTGGCTACAGATGACGTATCTGCTGCTGTTTGTGATAACAGTTACCTGGGTTACTGTTCAGGGCCACTTCGGCTGGCAACGTTGGCTCTTTACATGGCTACAGATGTCTGATGCGCGGCAAGAGCAGGTGAGGAGGCTGGCATCCTGCCCAGGCTGCTGGAACAGGTGGGAAGGCTGGTACCCTGTCTTCATGTTATCTGTCCTTGAAGTCAGTCTCTGATGAGTTCCCAGAAAGCACAAGACTCCCATCTTCGCCTTCAGCATCTCCCTCTCTCTCATTATCTCTATCCTGAATCTGCAGGCCCTCGGCCCCCTGGGGTAGAGATCCTGGCTTAGGGGCAAAGGGGTTTCCTCATTCTGATCACCAGATGAAGCCTTCCTTCACCTCAGCATTGCTATCTGAGATGTTGCTCTTTTTTTTTTTTTTTTTTTTTTTTAAAGGACTGAGCCTCTCCTGAGTCTAGGAACAGTGCACTGGGATTATGTGACTTTTTTTCCCCAGAGTCTCACTCCCAAAAGTTGCCTTGAGTGTCAGAAGAGACTTTGCAAGACTTGAACTTCTGCATAATGCTTGAGCTGTTGAGACTATGGGGTCCTTGGTGATAGTCTGAGATCATCTTGCTTGATGGGATGGACGTAAACTTGAATCTGAACTGCACCCCCTGCCCCACAAAAGCTCATGTACTAAAGGTTTGGTCCCTAAGGCCGCAATATTCAGAGATGGGGCTTTGGGGAGTGGATAGCGAGGGTTCTGACCTCACCCATGGCTTGGTCCATTCATGTGCCCAGAATCTAAGGGAATATTGGGAGGTCATAGACACTGAAGAGGCTGAGCCTACTTCCAGAGAGGGGCCTTTGAGAACCAGTCCTTGGGAGCCATATCTTGCCTATTGTCCTTTCCTCCTCTAGATCCCAGCTGGAAAACTCCCTGGCTCTGCCTCCCAGGCCTTGCTAACCTCCCAGGAGACCACAGGGAGCTGTTCCCAAACAATCATGCCGCAGAATCCTCCTCAGAGACGGCTCCCACACAGACCTGTGGTTTTGTGGCATTGCTGATAGAAAGGATGCTCTAGGGATTGGTGCAAGCAGCCCTCAATTGCATCTCTTGGATGTCAAACCATCTGGTAGGACGGCTGCCAACCTGTGAGTCAGGAAGGAGAGGGGGGACCTGTGACTCAGACACAGCAGATGTAGGCCCAGCCCACCCAATGCACCCAGCACCCCAAGCTTGCACAAAGATCTTCCCTTTTCAAACCGTTGGAGAGTCAGTCGCTAAGTACAGTCATCGTTTACAAAGAATGTAAACCTGCTTGCTAGTCAAGGGAATTAATATAACAAATATCACCGACACCAAGAGCTCCCCACACCCCGCTCTGTCTCTACCATTTGCCGAGAGCTGAGCTCCCAGGGGGTCGCCTACTCACTACTGTGCCTAGAGCTCACAGGGCCTGGCTCCTCCTCACAGTCAGTCATGGACGTCTCCAGCATGGCTTTCCAAGTCCCTGTAGCACTGCCCTGGCAGGATCCCCCAGTCAGAAGCCACTGCGTGGTGCTACTCCACACACTCCTCCATGGGGGCCCGATAATAGCCCTCATCCTGACCCCTAACATGCCTGCAGCCCCGATGCAGGAAAACCACAGGATGATTCACTCCAGCCCCTGATATCCCCACATGACCTCATCCTCTAGGGCCCACATAGGTAGCTATCCTGCCGCTCCTGGTGTTTCTACACATCCTTGGCCTTCCTTAGACACTTGCTCATGAAGTCTCCATCTCAGATCTGCTGTCTCCAAGAGTGGTTCTCCCTTAAGCCTTTACTTGGGTGTGTCCTCTCTGAATGCACCACCACCACCACCATCCGAAAACAGGGGTGCTTAGTGACCATTCTCTCATTGCTGGGACAACTCCCTCTGGAAACATGGCCCCCTCAAGCCCAGCAGAGTCAGGATCTGAGCCTCAGTCCCCCACAGGAGGAAGATCAGGCTTAGCTGGGTGTAGGGGACCTGCCCTCACCTTTCTCAGGGTACTCTTGAGGCGACAGGGATAAGAAAAATATCAGATAGAAAAAATGGACCTAGAGGACAAGAAGAAAGATAGAAACACAGGATAACTTCGGGAGGACCTGGGTCAATACCCAATGGCCCAGAACTTTATTCAAAAGGGTTTTATATAACAATGCCCAGGGGTGAGGCAAAAGACCTCCCCCTTGCTAGATACAGCCAAGTGTAGACCCTTCCAAACACCTGGTAACCATGCCATGGTCAAATCATCCCCTTATGCAGCCCTGCTGGGTAAAGCAAGCTCAGAGTCTCTGATCCTGAGTAATTTGGGCCTCCACAGCTGGGATGTAGGGGACATTGGTTCCATGCACAGGGAGCAAAGCTTGGGCAGACTCACTTTCACTCAAAAATAAAAGACAGAGACAGAGGAAATTATAAAGATGTGAGAAGGAAAGTAGCCTTTCACCCACAAATCTAGCTGAAGCCTCTTCCCAGCTGGGAATCAAGAAGTCTTCCACAATTAACAATTGTTTAAGGTCTTTCCCCCTTTCCAGTTATAAACCTGCAATTTTCTACGGATCTCACCAGGGAAAGAACATATGTTAAAGCTCTGTACAACCCCATGAGTTCCTGGATTTACCTTATGAGACTAAGTCCATTCAAGGCACTCCAGAGTCACTCTATAATCTCACTTATCAAAAGAGAGAGAGAGAAGGGGTTTCTTAGAAGTCTTTTGAGATGTGTCTTGAGGGTGAGGGCAATCAAAACAGCCTGCATGCCTACTGCCAAGACAATTTATTGTTACGATTCCTGGAAGAACTTGAACCCACAGTTGGGAGTATCTTACTTTTTCTTTTACTGAAGCCCAGATCTGTGTTCCTGTACATGCTTTATTCTCTTTTGGGTCACCTTTATCAATGCCTTTAATGGAATCTCTGTGCTAGTTAGCATTGGTGGTCAACTTGACAGAATCTAGAACTACGTGAGGAAAGGGGACCTGGGCATGCTTGTGAGAGATCTTGATGGTGTTCCTTGAGTAGGAAGACCCACCCACCATTCCTCAGCTGGGATCCTGGACTGAACACGTAAAGAAGGGGAACCCAGGAGCAGCATGCATTGCTCACCACTCCAGATTGTGGATATGGTGTGACCAGCTGCTTCAAGAGCCTGCTGCCTTGATGAGCCTGCCATGGTGGGCTGTGTCTTGAACTGTGAGCTGAAATAAACCCTCTCTCCCTTAAGTTGCTTTCATCAGGGTATTTATCACAGCAGTGAGAAACCAAACTAAGACCACCTCCCACTCTGCTTTATATTTGCCTGATCCTGAAATTCTTTTCTGCCTCACAGCCATGAATCCTGATCTGGCCTGAGTCAAGATCCTTAAGAAAATTAATGGGGCCCGGTGGCAGCGGTGGCAGCGCATGCCTTTAATCCCAGCACTTGGGAGGTAGAGGCAGGTGGATCTCTGTGAGTTCGAGGCTAGCCTCATCTACAAAGCGATTTCCAGGACAGCCAGGACTATTACACAGAGAAACTCTGTCTGGGGTAGGGGGGGGGGGGACTCCTCTGACTGCTGAGTGAGACAGTATGTAGCTGTGTCTGTGTCTTCTCACCACAGGCCACTCCTGTGTCTCTTCCCAGGGTTTGCAGGAGGTTAGTTTCCAGCAAGCAAGACGGCCCCAAGCTGTCCTTCCCATCACCAGTGAGCCATTCCAGCTGCTCCTGAAGCATGAAACCTCTATGTCCTCTTTCTCTATTTCTGAAGTCCCCCAGCTCCATCTCACTCTTCCAACCTATCTCATCTACAAACTGTCAAATGATATGAACCTCTCTCATAAGCTTGAAAGAGGAGTACAGGGGAAGTCAGCCACATGATCCACCAGCTTCCGCTGTTAAAAGTTGGTCCTCCTCGACCCTGTGTGTGGTTGATTTCACTGGCCAGAGAATAGAGAGACCAAGAGCTAGTCCCAACCTGAGCTACAGCAGCACCAGGCCCTGGGAGTTCTTCTGCCCCCATTTACACAGCTAAGAGACACATTGAAAATGCACAAATAAAAACTAGCTCAGTGGACTCTTGTGTCTATTTACTACAAACCCAATGATGTCTCCCATGAGACACAATCTATAGGTCTGGGCTGGTGTCCTGCCAGCGTCATAGGCAGGCATTGACTTCTTGTCCTAAAGTTCACAAAGCTGAGGGGGTCCTCCCTTAATAGGAAAGACCCACCTATATCCACACACAGGCACATCACAACCAAATCTATAAAAAGTAAAGACAAACACCTTCAACGAGGGCAGAGCAATGGAGGAACTAGGCATGGTGGCACACACCTGTCATCCAAGACTTGGGAGATGGAGGTAGGATCAGGAGTTCAGTGACATCCTTGACTACACAGGGGGATCAAGCAACCAGTTAGAGTGATGCATAGGACATGAGCAACACACAGCATGGCGGCAGGCAGCTCCAGCATGGTTAAACGATCCTAGGCAGACAGTGAGAAGTAAATGTGTACACTAGGGACCCAATAAAGTTACTGGGTGTTTAAAAGGGCTGTATAATCAACAACAAAACAGATACAGTGACAGAATAGTTAAACATGTTCAGTTAATAATAATAAAGACAGAAATGAGGAAACAACAGAGAACTGAAAAACAGGGAACATAAAGAAAGATAGCAAAAGAGTGAGCTTGGATTCAAGTACATCAATAACCACATTAAATATAATTAGTCTAAATTATTTAAAAATGTGTCGTAATTTTTTTAATGACCCACCTATATGCTGCCTTCAAGAAACTAACTTCAAAGTCATCAGTAGCAATGTATAAAAAGGATGGAAAGAAATATGCTATGGAAATATGAACAAAATAGTTAAGTGTAACCGTATTAATATAGAAACAGAATTCATAGAAAATTGTCAGAAGTAAAAGGGGAAATTACATTTCATTAAAAGAATCGATTAACCAGAAAGGCTGACCAACCCAATGAACACATTCAACTGAAAGACAGTTCCCAACATGACACAAATCCATGAAGTCAGGGCTGGGGGGAGAAACGTGCATCAGAATTCTGACTGGAAACTTCATTTGTCTGGCTGGAACAAACAGAAGCCTACAAGGACACAAGACAGCCGAGTTTCACCTTCAGCCAGCTGGATCTGACCAGTTTTATAGATCACATCACCTACCCTCAACACCTAAGTGCACATAGAAACAAGCAATACCCAAGGCCACTACAAAGTCACAAACACGTTAAATGAATTAAATCATACAGAGTGTGCGACACCAACAGAGATGACATGATCATCTCTAAATGCATAAATTTGATGTCACATACTTCAATATAACCCACAACAACAAAACCTCAAGGGGCCTTGAAAATATTATTCAATTGAACTAAAATGAAAAAAAAAATCAAATCTGTGGTATGCAGTGACAAGAGAAGGGAACTTATAATGCTATTTATGTTTAAGAGACAGAGAGAGAGAGATCTCAAAAGAATTATGTAAACTTCCATCTCAAAAACCTAGTCTAAAAGAAAGAAAGAAATCTAGAGCAAGTAGAAAGGGAAGAAAAAGAGCAGCAATCCATGAACTTAAATGTGACAGATAAAGGTGATGGAAGGCAAAGCTAGCAATCAATAAATATTAGCAAAGCTAACCACAAAGTAGAAGGGGGAAAAGCTATCAATTTCCAGAACAAAAGAAAGAAAAATTATAGGCCTCGTTTACATCAAGAGAAGAACAGAGGTCTATGAACAGACCTTCCACAGACTCAACAACTAAAGTTGGGTGAGCCATTCCTCAGAAACTGTAAACACTGAACCACAGCAGGGGCAAACAGTCTGAACAAGCCCAGGCCTCTTAAAGAAAGGGAAGGGAAATCTCGCCCCCCAAAAAAGAAATATCCAGAAATATCTCAGCTGGTCTTACTGGTAAATTCCACCAAATGCTAAAGAGGAGAGAACACCTGCTGTGGCTGCCATCTTCCTGAAAATAGAAAGGTCACTCCTAAGTGATCCTGGGAGACCAAGGCCAGTTGACAATTAAACCTGCAGGAACAGCACAAAAGAAGACTTCACGCCAGTGTTCCCAATGAACAAACACAAAACCGGTCAATAGAATGTGGGCAAATCAAACACACCAGACCAGAAAACACAATGAGTGAAGTCCTGGTTGGAATTCCAACACTCCTCAATGGATGGGAGGTAAATAAGCCACAACATGTCCACACACCAGGAGAGTGCTCTGACCCAGCAAGGAGCTCACTGTTAATATCCAAGGGTCAGGGGAGGAATCTCCTGACAAGCAAGGGCTGAGTGAAAAAGGCCAAGTCAAAGTTGTGTTTAGATTTTCTTGAAATTACAGAGATGGAGAGATTTGTGGTTGCAAGGTTTGCGAGGGCAAAACAAGGAGTTTCTGGGTGGCCATGGGGATAGCATTCCTGACTGAGATCTCAGCTGCAAAGCTGTAAACTTGTGACCTATACAAAGTCAAACAGCCCGTAAGCTGATGTGACCTGAGCAAAATGTGAGGGTCACCTTGTTACCAAGGTCAGTCTCTGTGTTTTTTTCTGTTTTTGTTTTTGTTTTGTTTTGTTTTGTTCTTACTTTTTTATTTGTAAGATAATCTCATTGGGGGCTCTTAGGGCAGAGTCCGTGGGAATGCTATGCCTTCCATTGAAAGTTCTTTGTAAAGTTTTACAAGTTAAAAAAAAAAAAAAAAAAAAAAAGCAAGCAGGGCTGGAGAGATGGCTCAGTGGTTAAGAGCACTGACTGATCTTCCAGAGGACACGGGTTCAATTCCCAGAACCCACATGGCAGCTCACAACTGTCTGTAACTCCAGTTCCAGAGGATCTGACACTATCACATAGGCATACATGCAGGCAAAACACCAATGCACACAGAATAAATAAATAAATAAATAAATAAATAAATAAATAAATAAATAAATAAGCCGGGCGTTGGTGGCGCACGCCTTTAATCCCAGCACTCGGGAGGCAGAGGCAGGCGGATCTCTGTGAGTTCGAGGCCAGCCTGGGCTACCAAGTGA